ATTACTCTCAGCCTTTCGGAGGAAATTTTTCTGCTCGGGGCGGTAGGGGGCGAGGTCGTGGCGGCACTGCAGGCCGTGGGTACGTCCCAGCTCGCGGATGTGGTGAGGGTACGGAACCGACGAGTAGAAGCACTGCTCATGTAGCAAGAGTGAACGATAACCGGGGAAAACAATTGATGCACATGTGGACAGCAGCGGAGAAAATGCAGATACTGAATATGCACGCACAAGTGAACCAATACCCGGCACAGTTACAGACCGGGGTGAATGGGAGAATCAGGGCAAAACAACTGATGTACTTGTGAAGAATTTTGGTCAAAAAGATGCGTCTTCTGAACATGCAAGTGCGTCAGATGGGAGCACTCAGATGGTCAGGATGGAGACGGGGGCAACACCAAAGGAGCAGCAGGGAAAAAATAGCAACAAAAGAGTATCTCAGGACAATGCCCAGATCACTTCCTCTGGCCTAGTTGCTCCTGTTTCAGAAACGAGTGGGGCTGCAATTGTTTTGGCTGAGAAGATCCCAACGGGGGTGCCTCCACTCCCGCCAGTTTATGTCTCGCCACGTAAGAATGTCAAGCGACCAAAGGGGATACCACAACAAAAAGGAGGAGGAGGAGATGTGACAAGTGATACAACCAATGCAATATCGGCGGGCTCCTTCGGGGAGCGCCGCCGGGCATAATGAGTTACATATGTTGGAACTGCCGGGGCGCGGGCAAGGCCTCGACAGTTCGCGAACTTCGCGATTTAGCGAAGAACTATGCCCCTACTATGCTTTGTATTCTAGAAACTCAGATCGACAAGGCTAGAGTAGAGAATTTAGCAAGTTCTATAGGTTTTGATCATGCTTTTGCTATCAGTAGTGTGGGGAGGAGTGGAGGTATATGCCTCTTCTGGAATAATTCAATAAAAGTTGATATTTTGGGCTACCCGGATTACCATGTGGATGTAAAGGTTCTTGACCCAGGTTGGGACCCATGGAGAATGACGGTTGTGTATGGTGAGGCGCAAACTCACATGCGCCACCAAACATGGGACACTTTGAAAAATATAAGCTCTTCTAGCAGTCTCCCCTGGCTGTGTATAGGCGATTTCAATGAAGTGCTTCGTCCAGATGAACATGAAGGAGTAGGAGAACGAAGTAATGCCCAAATTCAAGCGTTTAGGGATATGGTGGATGTCTGTATGCTCATGGATTTGGGCTTCAAGGGCAGATTTTGGACTTTTGAGAAGAAGGTAACGGGCGGTTCATTTACTAGAGTGCGGCTGAACCGTGCTTTGAAATCGGCAGAGTGGAGTTCCATGTTTCCCAATTCAAGTTTGACTCATCTGGTGGCGGCCACTTCTGATCATTGCCCTATATATCTTCAACTCAGCGACGTGCCTAACCTACAAAGAGCTGCAGGGAAAATATTTAGATATGAAGTAGCATGGGAGTCTCATGATGGCTTAAAAGAGGAAATCCAAGGGGTTTGGTCGGCTGGGCACCCTACCTTGCGGGTGGAAGATGTTAAACATAAGTTGTTAACTCTATCTCAGAGTTCGAGGCAGTGGGACAAGTGCACTTTCGGTTCGGTACGTACAGAGATAAAAGAGTTGAAGGGCGAGTTGGGGAGGCTGAGAGGGAACCCTTTGCGCACTAGTCCGAGCCACCGCGAGCAGAAGATCCATGAGCGGTTGGTTGAATTGTACCATAGAGAGGAAGTACTGTGGCGCCAGAGATCTAGGATCGAATGGCTAGCAGCAGGAGACAAGAACACAAAGTTTTTTCATATGAGGGCAAGTATGAGAAGGAAGAAAAAAATGATCAAGGCTCTGTCCAATGCTTGGGGATTATGGTGGATGATCCGACGGAGCTCAAAATACTTGTATCTAATTTTTACAAAGACCTGTACACCTCAAAGGGTGTAACAAATATGGAAGCAGTGCTAGAACATGTACCTCGGAAGGTCACGGCTGCCATGAACAACACTCTTTGTGCTCCATATACAGGTAATGAGGTAAAAGTGGCACTTTTTCAAATGTTCCCCACTAAATCTCCTGGTCCGGATGGCTTTCCAGCACACTTTTATCAGCGGCATTGAGACGTGTGTGGGGAAGAGGTAACCAGGGCAGTGTTAAGAATCGTCAAGGGGGAAGAAAGTGCGGAGTGCATCAACGATACTTTTTTGGTTCTAATACCAAAGGTAATGAATCCAACCCTTCTCACTCAATTCAGACCAATTAGTTTGTGCAATGTTCTGTATAAAATTGCATCAAAGGTGGTGGCGAATAGATTAAAACAAATCTTACCTGACATTATTTCTGAAGAACAATCGGCTTTCATTCCTGGAAGATTGATCACAGACAACATTATATGTGCCTATGAATGCTTACATTTCATGAAAAGAAGCAAATCCAAATCCAGCAGTCACTGTGCTTTGAAGTTGGACATGATGAAAGCTTATGACAGGCTAGAATGGACATATCTGGAGGCAATTATGATCAAACTGGGATTTGCAAGATCTTGGGTGGAGGTTGTGATGGGCATGATCAAGTCCGTATCATTTGCAGTACTTTTTAATGGAGAGGAACTGGACCATTTTAAACCACCAGGGGTATTCGACAGGGAGATCCAATCTCCCCTTATCTCTTTTGGATTGCAGCGGAGGGCCTTTCGTGCCTCTTGAAATCTGAAACTCAATCATCGCATTTCATGGGAGTGCAGGTGGCTCCGACAGCTCCGGTTGTTAACCACATTCTCTTTGCCGATGATAGCCTGCTGCTTTTCAAAGCGAGTAACGAGGGGGCGACTACAGTGTCAAACATGTTGACTACCTACTGTAATGCTTCGGGTCAGAGAGTGAACAATGCTAAATCTTCAATATTTTTCAGCAAGGGGTACCCCCAATCTGTTCGAGATGGCATAAAAACTTCTCTTGATGTGCACAATGGACAATTGAGTGAGAAGTACCTTGGCATGCCCACTGATGTAGGTCAGTCGAGGAATGGAACGTTTAAATATTTGAGGGACGGAGTTTGGGAAAAGATAAAGGGATGGATGGAGAAGTTATTATCATACGCGGGTAAGGAAGTTTTGATTAAAGCAGTTGCCCAAGCTATTCCTGTTTTTTCAATGGCATGCTTCAGGTTACCGTGTGGTATTTGTGAGAGTGTGACGTCAATGATCCGCCAATTTTGGTGGAGAAGCAAGAGGGGCAAAAGGAAGCCTTGTTGGGTTTCGTGGGACGTTTGCACTAAACCAAAATCATTGGGAGGATTGGGCTTTCGTGATATAGAATTATTCAATCTAGCACTCCTAGCAAGGCAAGCTTGGCGCTTGGTGGAAGGACCTGCAACTTTGAGTGCAAGAATTTTGAAGTCCGTATACTACCCGTCAAGCTCTTTCTTAAATTCTGAGTTGGGACTACATCCGTCGCAGACTTGGAGGGCGATCATTGATGGACGAGATGTTATTGCACAAGGAATCATAAAAAGGATTGGAACGGGGGAGAGTACCAATATATGGGGAGAGAATTGGCTACCCAGATCGGGCATGATGAGGCCGGTGGCTTCTCTAGTGGCTAATCCACCACAGCAAGTTTCTGAACTCATACATGCAGCAACAAATTCTTGGAACGAGGAAGAACTAAGAAGGGTTTTTGTTCCAGTTGATGTGGAGGTTATATTATCAATCCCACTTTGTACGAAACGGGTTGATGATTTCTGGGCCTGGGGCGAAGATCGCCGAGGAAAGTTTTCGGTCAGCTCGATATACAGAATGCTTTTCAATGTTAAAAACTAAGGGGAGAACTTGTAGGCTGGTACTGGAAGCTCGTCCACAGCTAAACAAGAAAAGAAGGTGTGGGCTTCAATCTGGAATATCAAGGTTCCTTCCAAGCTGAAATTTTTTATATGGAGATTGTGCTCTGATTCGGTACCAACTACAGATGTTAAGCATCATCGGCACATGGCCCCATGCCCGGCCTGTCCATTTTGCTTGGCGGAGGACAGTTGGAAACACGCCTTGATCAATTGTATATCTGCTAGGTGTGTCTGGTCGTTGTCATCAGAGGACACAGTGGAGCGGATGTGTGAAAATCTAAGTCTGAATGCCAAAAACTGGGTATTCAAAATGCAAGAGAAGTTGTCACATACAGAGTTCACTCACATGGTTGTAACCCTCTGGGCAATTTGGAGGTCGCGCCGAAGAGCCATTCACGAGGAGATTTATGACAGCCCTATGCAAATTCATCTCTTCATCAATGCTTTCCTAAAGGATCTAGAGATTTTGACAAAACCTACTGAGAGGAGCAATGCTAACCGGGCAATTAGGCCAAATCATTGGCTGCCCCCCGCCAATGGAGTATGTGAATTTTAATACTAATGCCGCTGTCTCAAGTGGAAGCTGTGGTTCTGTTGGTGTAATATGCAGGGATTTGGATGGCACTTTCCTGGGTGCTTCTTCTATCACTTTCAAGCATATGCTTGACCCTGTTACTTTGGAGGCATTGGCGGTAAGGGAAGCGCTGACGCTAGCGGAGGATTTATATGTTCAGAAGATACATATAGCGTCTGATTGCAAGACCGTGGTGGATGAAATCAAGCAGGGTTGACAGGAAATCATGCAGCTATTAGACGTGAAATTGTTGAGAGATTGAATGCGTTTACTTCTTTAATTTTGTCCATGAGTTTAGGAGCTCGAATATCGAGGCTCACAGTCTCGCTAGACATGCACTTTCACTTGGGTTAGGCCGCCATGTATGGTTAGGCCTTCTCGGGGAGTTGAACTTTCTTCATGTAAATGTTCCAACAATTTGAATAAAGCCTGGCATGGTTGTCTAAAAAAAAAAACGTCACCGAGCGGCGACACGATTTCCCCACCGCCCACCGCTCTTCCCACTTTGCCATCTGGAGGCTTCCAGAAGGCAAAACCCCCAAATCCTCCCCGGCTCTCCGCTGGACGATCAAGCGAACTCCCGAAAATCCCACACAAAAGAAGCGAAAATTAAAACGACATGAACCCCCTCAAGAACTCGCGCTCCGCCCTCTCCCGTCTCCTCCGCCACAACCCCGCCGCCGGCCGGCCGCAGCCCCCGGCCCCTCCCCCGCCGGTGCCGCGGGAAACGGCCGCTCGGCACTACCACGCCGCCCCGCGCCGCCCAGGGTTCATTCAGTCTTTCAGCCGAGGGCCCCTCCGCCACGAGCCCGCCGCCCTCTTCCGGCCGCTGCCGGCGCGGGCGCAGGCGCCGCCTCCCCGGCACTACTCCACCTCCTCGCGCCGCCCGGAGGTCATCCACTTCGCGCGCCGCCGCGGCGGGGCGCGGTGGTACCACGACAGGCGGAAGGTCGCCGCGGTGGTCCTCCTCGCCGGCGGCGGGACAATCGTCGTCTACTTCGGCAACCTCGAGACCGTGCCCTACACCAACCGCACCCACTTCGTCCTCGTCTCGCCCCAGCTCGAGCGCCAGCTCGGCGAGTCCCAGTTCGCTGATCTCAAGAAGGAGCTCGCCCCCAAGATCCTGCCCCCGCTCCACCCCGACAGCGTCCGCGTCCGCCTCATCGCCTCCGAGATCGTCCGCGCGCTCCACCGCGGCCTCGCCGACCGCCGCAGCGACGACTTCGATGACGCCTCCTACGGCGACATCTCCACCGACATCGCCGTCAAGGCCCGGGACATGGATGCCGAGGACGTGATGCATCGGGTCTGGCCTGGCAAGACCGCGGGCACGGCCGCTAGGGCTCAGCGAGACGACGAGCTTCTCGATGACAGGTGGGTCGCCGAGAGCCGGAGACGGGGGAAGGCACGCGGAGCGCAGCCACAGACGAAGCACCTCAATGAGCTCAATTGGGAGGTCATCGTCGTCAGAGATAAGCTCATCAATGCAATGTGCTTGCCTGGTGGTAAAATTGTAGTCTTCACTGGATTGCTCGACCATTTCAAGACAGATGCTGAGATTGCGACAGTGCTTTCGCATGAGGTGGGTTTACTAATTGGGTAATGGGCTCATATGTACTTTGTGGTTGTTTTACAGTGCATTGGAACAGATATTGGTACCTCTATGTTTTAGATTGGGTTAATGGGCTCATATGTACTTTGTGGTTGTTTTACAGTGCATTGGAACTGATATTGGTACCTCTATGTTTTAGATTGGGCACGCTATCGCGAGGCACTTGCCAGAGATGATCACCAAGGGCATGTGGTTTACTATCCTGCAGCTTATCGTCCTACAGTTTATTTACATGCCAGACCTAATTAATGCAATGTCGACATTACTCCTCAGATTGCCCTTCTCACGAAGGTATTCATTTCTGCATTTCATATTCTTCGTGGAATCACGGTTATTTACATTCTACACATGATAAGTTGCATATATGACTGAAATGAGATGCTACCAGATCTGGCAAAAGCCAATGAATTGGCACCAATGGGCTTGTTTTGTCTAGGTATCTAGTTTTGCTATAAGTTATGATATGACTCCTGCTTCAAGTGCCTCCATGTGGGCCATTGTATACTATTGTGAGCCATCCTATTATTTCAGCTTATTGTGCCACAGACCAGTGAGAATCTATCTAGGTAAAGTGATCAACCATGCATAGGAAAAAGCTCATATCAACATGAAAACATGCATGATAAATTTTTTATATTGTTCTATTTATACTTAATAAATATTGTGCAACTATACAATGATCAAACACAACAAATCATACTCCCTCCTCCCCAAAATAATTGTCTTTGATCGGGCACAACTTTGTACTAAAGTTGTACTAAATGAAAAACACTTCTTTGGAACGGAGGGAGTATGTATTTTCAGTTTATTTCTCATATTATTACTCCCAATGTTCATGTTCCATGCAACCAAATCACATCGAATTATATTGCAAACTCCGCAACAATTTGCGGGTTATCATCTAGTACCATTGACTTTTGCTACGGACTTAACTAACAACAGTGACAATTCTAGTAATAAAACATATGCCTCTTGATTGCCCAACAGATGAGATCATTACTGGTAATTCTTGTCCTCAACAGGGCATTGGACCTCGGAGAGACATCTAGTTCTCTGTTCTCATACTTTTTTTCTATGGTTGGCAGAGTCCTTTTTTTTTTTGAAAAAATGCCACCATGGCTAGCTTTATTGATTTGGCAAAATCGTTACATCATTCACTAAAGAGTTTATAAGAAAATCTGGGGGTTCATCAACCCAATTACAAGAAACATTATTCTCATAAGAAAATTTAGCTAAATTGTGCGCAGCTTCATTTGCTTCCCTTCGGCAATGTGTGAACTCAACATTCCCAATCATTCCAGCTATAATAAAACAGTCCGCATATATAGCAGTAGCTTCGCTCCACATCCTCTCTTGGCCTGAACATGCATTAACGACCTCTAAGGCATCTGATTCAATTTGTATGGAGGTATATCCGAGAGATTCAGCCAAAATTAGTCCGCTCTTCATAGCCATTGCTTCTGCTAGAAGAGCATCAGCGACATATGGGATTGTAGCGCATGAAGCCGCAATAAAAACTCCATATCTATCTCTTGCCACGGCCCCTGTAGCGCCCTTAACTTCTTCATCATGGTAGGATGCATCAACATTTATTTTTACAAGACCTGAGGTGGGTTTCTTCCACTGTTCACCATTACGAATGACCTGTACATCTGTTGTAGCTTGCTGGAAATTAGCACAAATAGCCTGGACTTATTAGCTATTCACACAAGTTCTTAGAAAGTAGACGAAATCAGATTTACAATAGCATATGTCATGTACTCTTTTGTACTCCCTCCTCCGTCCCATAATATAAGAGCGTTTTTGTAGTGTCAAAAACACACTTATATTATGGGGCGGAGGGAGTACTAAATTCTGGATCTGCATGGAATTGATCCCAAAACACCAAATTGACTGGAATGATAATATGATATCTTTCTTGTACATCTCTTACAAATCCTACCGAAGTTGACGAGGATGATGCCCCTTCCTCTATAACTACTAGAATTTCATCACCAATGCATTGTGCGTGACTATTCTATTGTCCACCAGTTTTTTATCAGATGCACGTGTAAGGATCGTTTTACAACATGTGTGAATTGTGAGGATGGGGTGGTCTATATTTGAGATTTACAAAGTTAGTATTTAAGGTGGTAAGTTTGCACTTCTGACTTGTGGTAAAATCAGTCCCTTTCACAAGTGCTTGTTTTTTCCAGTATGAAGCAGTGGTCACTGGTCAGTTAGGATCTTCATGATGGTGAAACTTGAACTTCCCAGACCTGACTAAATTGGGTAATTTTATGCAGAAGTAACCCCCCCCCCCCCCAAAAAAAAAAATTTATTAAGGGGGGAAGTAGCTCCGTCCTTTTGGATGTCTTTATGAAAGACATATCTAACGTATGGTTTGAAAATAAAATACTCTGTACGGCAATTTCGAGAAAAAAATATCTTTTCAGACACACACTCAACTCTAATGGACTAACTACTGTTGCTTAGTTGTCGAGCCTCATCGGTACAAGCTTTCTGTGATCAAAGCTTCCTTTGATCTTTGAATTGATTGATGACATGACCTAGTGCAGACATTCAGCGCTTCTGCCTAGTGCATCTGAAATGATGCATCACAGTAGCTAGGGTGTTTAGCTAGCTGAAGCTGTATCCGTCAGTTTCCTCGAAACGATGAGGACAAGTAACTGAAGACATCTCCTGAAACGTGGACTGGCTACTGATCCATCTTGGCAGTCTGATCTGCCGCACATTATCTCCGACTTTACCCCACTCCTTGTTGCATTATTGAATAGCTGACTGTATCTCCATGTGTCTTTCCAATCAGGATCCGCTGATGCCACTTTCTGTGGACATGATTTTCTAAAACCCCACCCCAGCTGTCACTTCTTGATGTAGCCTTCATTGCTTCAAAGATACAATAAAATTTCATATGATTAGGCGATGAGTTGCCTAGCACCTTCACCACATGAATCCCGCCCTGCTGTACTCTATCCAGTTGTTTTAACCATAGATAGTTCTTCATGATCTGAATATAAAATGATTTGTGAGGATTCTTTCATCCGTGCCCTAGCTGTTTTAATTCTAGTGAGATTTATTTGTAGGGCCGGTCCTGTCTTTTGTCCATCATAAGAGGTAAAGTACTATTTTTTTTAGATGGAGCCCTGCTGGTCAGATAAATTGTGGTTGCTCTAATATGACATAAGATTCAGTATATGTCATTACAGTCCTTCCTGGAAGAAAAAAAAACTCGTGTGTTGTACAGTTGCCATCCTTGTTACCGCATTATCAAACATATGCAAGTGTATCTTGTTAGAAGCCCTTGCGATGATGTATGTTGCATGTTTGCAGGATGGAGGTAGAGGCGGATCACATCGGGCTCATGCTTCAAGCTTCTGCTGGTTTCGACCCACGCACAGCTCCCAAGGTCTACGAGAAGCTAGGACAAATCGCGGGCAATCAGTCAGTGCTGAAAAGCTACCTCTCCACCCATCCTTCGAGTAAGAAGCGATCGGAGCTCTTGTCTCGAGCCAAGGTAATGGAGGAGGCGATGCAACTATACAGGGAAGCTTGCGCCGGCCACGGGACCGAAGGCTTCCTGTAGGTTGCAGCTTTGAACTCTCCTGCCTGTGGCTGCGTGGTAAGTCGCTCGGTGGCGGTGCCTGGCACGGAAACATGTCCTTTGTTACCTGCACGGTGACGGCCAGTAAGAAGAGTGCATTCTGTGTCTGAAGATGTTCGTTCTGTGCGTTGTTACTGTCTGTTCTTGTCAGGCTGAATCAGCCGCACTTTGGTAGCAGGATGTGATCGAGCTGCTTCATTTGTGATTAGGAGAGAACAGGGAATAGGAGAAGAGTTTCTGTTAATAATTGTCTTCCAAGAGCAGCTTTTATAGTCCCATCTTCCTTGGGTTTACCGGCGTTGATGATCGTCACGTTGGTTAGTTTTTGTCATCTACGCCAGCTAGTAGTCAGCTGGTGACGGAATATTCATATAATATCGATGTTTGAAGTAGTCAGTCACAACTCACAAGGTATATAATATACTCCATCGGTTTCTAAATATTTGTCTTTTTGGAGATTTTAAATGGACTACCACATACGGAGGTATATAGACATATTTTAAAGTATAGATTCATTCATTTTGTTCTGTATGTGGTTACTTGTTGAAATATCTAGAAGACAAATATTTAGGAACAGAGAGAATATAACTGAAGGAATACTCTTCAAACCTCAAGTATTCTGGCTTTGCTAGCTGCCACTGTCCCGACGTGCTTACTTATTTGGTACTGTATTTATCAGTAGATACACCCACTCCGAGAACCACTCGATGTCATACACAGCCAGTCATGGAATATTCAGATGATCTTAGCTTCAAGTGGTCAATCAGTCACAAGGTAGGTAGGTCCAGGACTGAATAATCTGCAGGCCTCAATCACCCTAGCTTGCTTGCAACCTTTGACGTGATTCTGCGCTTCGTATTTACTCCCTTTGTTTCTAAATATTTGTTTTTCTAGATATTTCAACAAATCACTATATACGGAACAAAATGAATGAATCTATACTCTAAAATATGTCTACATATATCCGTATGTGGTAGTTTGTTTGAAATGTCTAGAAAAACAAATATTTAAGAACGGAGGAAGTAGTCAATAGTAATAGATGCACCCATCCCGTGACACGATCGGGGACACACTCTGCCTACCACCTTTACCTGCTCAAGATTCCTAATCGCACGGGGCACCCGTCGTGACACGGCGAGCCCGCCCGGTCGCCGATGTCACACGCGGCCACAACGTTCGTTCGCCGGCATGGCATCAGCGTCGAACAGAATGCATCGTCGGGTTCCGCGACGCACCGCTGGTCCCGTCTCCCACGAGCGTCAGGTTACTTGAAGAGCCGTCTGTCTATCTATCTGGGCGATTAGATTAGTCCTATCATACGCTCCTCTCCGGCCCATCGACCTCCTCCGTCTCTTCCCCTGGCGCCTCCCCTATCATACCTGCAAATTGGTGCCATATGCCCCATCGACCTCCTCCGTCTCTTCCCCTGGCGCCTCCCCTATCATACCTGCAAATTGGTGCCATATGCTGTAGGAGTACTACAATATGTACTCCTACTCAGCTACTCTCCTCCTCGTAATCTCAATAGTTCATCACAAAACCAGTACTAAACTGCAGCTAAGCCGAGGGTGTAGTGTGGTCATGTTAGCTTTTCGCGGCGCGAAGTGTCGCTCCCTGGTTCGTTTGTTTGCTGCTTCCATGGCGATCGGTCATGATTCATGCAATGGTGCAGAGCAGTGCAGGGTTGGACTTTGGACCGGCGATCGAGGGACCGGAGAGACCTTTCCGGCAGCTAAAGGATGGCGGCCCTCGGGTCGCCGGTTGGGTCGCGGTTTCGTTCCTACGCAGCCGATGCGTCCGCTGCCTTCTTTTGACCAAGTGGTCGTTTGTGTTGGACACGAGATTCCGAGAGGCGTGCAAGGCGAGGCTTGGACGCCGGACACCGTTGATAGACCGATGCTCACCAGCAAAGTGGCCGGCAGCGGGCTGACAAGTAAAGAAATGGGCTCTTGGGTCTTGGCCATTTGAAGATTGTGATCAGAAGTGACACTAGCAGCACAACAAAAGTTGGGGGAGTTGGTGAGCGCGGCAGAAATCACTGTTCTGACCCGAGGACGAAATCAATTCATAAATTGAACCGTTCCGGAAAAAAATTCACCCAGCTAACCCTTTTGTGTGGCGCCCGACATTTAGGCGCCACACTACACCGTGCAGCGCCTAGATCTTAGGCGCCATGCTTCTGGCCAGTGTGGCACCCCTGAACCCCGCACCAAGCAGTGCAGCGCCTTTGAGCTAGGCGCCACACACGTAATGTGCAGCGTCTAACAGCTAGACGCTGCACATGCACTTACTAACTGCCGCGGACATCTATTTCTAGTACCTGAAAATTACTAAGTCAGTGTGCAGCGCCTGAGGGATAGGCGCTACACTATACAGTGTAGCGCCTGACGTCTAGGCGCTGCACAATTAATCAACAAGGCGATGGGCGCGCGATGCTAGCTTGTGAGGTCGGAGCGGAGAGGGACCATGCATGTACATGTAAGGTCGGACCAAGCAAGCAAGGGCCAGCTTAAAACCTCTCGCTCTCTCCCATCCACCACGCCACCACCAAGTACAAGACGTAGTGCCACAGTGCGAATGACAGTTTGCCGCTAGCTGCTTGTGCAGTCGGGCACGCCTGGACCTAGCTAGCTAGCTTCCTCAACTATCCTGCAGCTGCATGCATGCTGGTCATGGTCAGCCTGGTGCTACTGCTAGCTAGCTAGCTCGCCATACATAGGTCGATCTTGCGTGTCCCAGGGATGACATAACTCTTGGCAGATTTAGGACTTATGTACATATATGTACACACACGCATCGCATGCACGCGCAGCTACTAGCTATATGGGCTTAAAGCTAGGCTAGCTAGAGACGGAAGACAAATTTCATTTCATTTCTTTTGGGTCTAGGCTTTCGTGCACAATGATCTGTAGCTGTCAGTGCCCATCGATCGATCAGCCGACCGAGTGGCCAAAGGGAGACGGTCGTACGTACGAGCTCGTATGACTCCGTCTACCTACCAATCGTCATCGTCCGGACTCTTGCTTGTTATGCATAGTGCAGCGCCTAGACGTCAGGCGCTACACTGTATAGTGTAGCGCCTAACTCTCAGGCGCTGCACACTGACTTGGCAATTTTTAGGCATCGGAAACAAATGTTCGCGACAGTTAATAAGTGCATGTGCAGCGTCTAAGAGCTAGGCGCTGCACATTATGTGTGTGACGCCTAAATCAAAGGCGTTGCACTGCTCGGTGCGGGCCTAGGGATGCCATGGTGGCCAAAAGTGTGGCGCCTAAGATCTGGACGCTGCACAGTGTAGTGTGCCGCCTAGATGTCGGGCGCTACACAAAAGAGTCAGCTGAGTGAATTTTTTTTTTTGAGACAGTTTAGTTTGTGAATTGATTTCGCCCTCGGGCCAAAACAGTGATTTCTGCCGGTGAGCGCGCTGTACTTGCACCAAAGAGGTGCGTGGCCGATGTTCGAGAGAGAGCGGTTGGGGGCACGTTGCCGTGCATACCACTGTAGCACTGTGCCGTCACATGGGGGGCCTAGCGACCTACTTGTGGGTCGTGACAAGCATGGACGAACGGTCAGGAATAAGGGTGAGGGGAGTCACAAGTCTGCGTCCACACCTGTAGTCGCGGCCCTGTGGGACACCACCGTTCATGGGGAGCAAAAGCGCGTGCACTGTACCGGATCAGCAACGTGCAAGCTTAACGCAATCTCTGATTGATTCATTAACTGTGCTACCGGACGAGCATGCTGCCGAGGCTTTACCATCTCTTATCAGCTGAGCCGAGCGCTCTCTTTCCTTATCAGCCGAGTAATTAACATCAAACCGTCTTTTTCTTAAATATAATTGTCCTGAAAGAAAAGTAATTGTTGGTAGAATCTCTCTATTTTATATACTACTAGGAATTCAGGAAAAGTGATACCCTTGGTATAAAGCTGGTTGTAGTGGGAGTATCATAAGTAGTATCATGCATGCTAATTAGACGTTTTAGATGATGTGGCACACAATTAAATAAGGAAAAAGAGGATGTAGTATCATATCATGATACCGTCTCATATTAAATGCTCCGCTAGTTTGTGTCATGCATGACAATTAATAAGGCAATCTGAGATACTAACTTATGATACTATGCATTACAGAGGTAGTATCACACACTAGTATCATATGCATGATACTAGTATATGATACTCCCCATTACAACCAGCCTAAGGCTGGTTATAGTGGAGAGTAACTTAGACTAGTGTCATGCATATGACACTAGTCTAAGTTACTACCTTCATAATGCAAAGTATCATAGATGGCTTCATTTATTAGCTTATAGACTCATCTTGTATTGGAAAGCGTTATGTTACAGTAATATATTATGTTACCATCTCTCATTAATTACTTGCCACGTAAGCAAAATTTTATCAAAGTACGCTATGTTACTAGCTAAGTTACTCCCATTATGACTAGCCTAATAATGTAGCTCCCCACTCTTGGCGCACTAATAATGGTCTAGCGCCATTTAAGCTTCGTCCACAACCATTGGAAGCGCAACAACCGCTTTACACAAAGTTGCATCATTATGAGCACTAATACCATCCGTAGCATGAGACAGGCGGTTTGGTGTGGTACCACGGCAGCGGTACGGACCATTTTATTACCATATCAATTGATGATTACACGAGGACCAGAGCACCCAAACGGCAAGGGAAAACAATCAATAGTAGTCTTGTGTGTTTGACACGCCTCTTGCCACCCACCACCCAGAGACGAGAGAAGAGAGACCAGACACCCTGATGCATGACGACGACGACGATGATGCGACCTACCTAAGCGGACTACGCGTAGTATGCAACCAAACGGAAAAGCAAATATGTTGGAAGAATTTCGTCCAAATCCTCCAGTGGCCACCCACCAAATCCAACCCAACCCATCACTGATCATCGCACGGCGATCGGCGCCGATCGGCTTCAGGGCTTCCACAGGATGGTGGTCTCGGCGATCATCGAGGTGACCACGTATGGGTCCATGTTGGACGCCGGCCGGCGGTCCTCGAAGTAGCCCTTGCCGTTCTGCTCCGTCTCCCGGCCCACGCGCACCGACGCGCCACGGTTTGCGACGCCCTGCAGTCATTCAGATGATTCAGAACCACTGTTGGAGTAACGAGATGTGGAAAGATTCAGATGATCCAGAACTAGAAGGCGAGGGGCGCGGCGTACCCAGCTGAAGGTGTTGATGTCGGCGGTCTCGTGCTTGCCGGTGAGGCGGCGCTCGTTGCCCTCGCCGTAGGCGGCGATGTGCTCCTTGTGCTTGAGCTTGAGCTTCTCCACGGCATCCACGATGACCTTGAACCCGCCGTCCTTCCTCATCGACTCGGTACTGAATGCAGCAGAGTCGTTCGTGATCAGCAAAACAGCACGGTAAGATGAATGACACTTATCGATCTGTTCGAGCATCTCATCTCAATTACCTGTAGTTTGTGTGAGCACCAGCACCGTTCCAGTCGCCTGGGATGGGCTTGGGGTCAAATGTGACGACAACTCCGGCGATCTCAGTGATCCTCTGAAGAAAGGGAGAGTAACATTTAATCGCAATAATTTTAACCGAACACGATGTCATTCCATCACAAAAGCCTCCCTCATCAGAATAAGATCACATGACTATTATCATTACCTCAAGAAGGTAGCGAGCGACCCACACTTGGTCGCCAGCAGAAATGCCAACAGTCGGGCCGACTTGGAACTCCCACTGAAAACCAAACATAGTAATTCTACCATGGTCAGAGAGACAGTAATTCTCAAGATAGAGAAAATAGGAATGTCCTGTGTTGTAGCGGTGTTTCACCTGTCCGGGCATGACCTCGCCATTGATGCCACTGATGTTGACACCGGCAAAGAGGCAGGCCTTGTAGTGAGCGTCAACTATGTCACGCCCAAACGACTTGTCAGCACCAATACTACAGTAGTAAGGACCCTACACACATGAAGAAGAGATTGGTAAGTGTACACTTCACCAAAATTAGGGCCAAACGTCCAAATTCAGTCGGTCAAGCCGAAAGAGACGTACCTGAGGACCAGGGAATCCACCAACAGGCCAGCCGAGAGGCCAGTTGATGTCCTTCTGTAGGAGGGTGTACTCCTGCTCAATACCATACCTATCGTCGCAAAAACAACGCGATCAGTCAATCAATTATCATAAAACAGTTACTACTTCCTCCGTTTCTAAATACTTGTCTTTCTAAGCATTTCAACAAGTGACTACATACGGAGCAAAATGAGTGAATCTACACTCTAAAATATATCTACATACATCCGTATGTAGTAGTCATTTGAAATGTCTAGAAAGACAAATATTTAGGAACGGAGGGAGTAGATCATTATTTTCTAGTGTTCGTAATCATCGATCGAGTTTGTGTATTGTATTTATATATACCATGGCTCCTCCTTGGCAACATCAGGGTTGCTAAAGATCTTGGCAGCGTTGTATCTCTTGTTGGTGGGGATTGGCACTCCAGCTGGGGTGTAGCAATCGCACATGACCTGCAAGTGGTTCGAATTTAGTAAGGGGGATCTTGATTACTAAGGATGTTGACAAGATGATGGCCATTGAATTCCCTCACTACTGCACTGTACTAGTTAGGTAGACCAGACACGCACGCCTAATAACCAAAAATATCCATAATTCACAACCCTGAGTGGTCCTTGACTGGGATATAATTTGCGTCAGAAATAGGAGTAGGAGTAGCTAAGAATACTGGACCAAAATCATTCAAAATCTGCATCAGAAGATGTTTAAGTTGATCTCCCCTCTTAATGATGCTCGTTAGTCTGTCGTAGTTGAGCAGAAGAGCTAGATCGATCAACTACAGTGACAAATACTACTGCACTAGAGCCTACAGGTGCAGATCACTTGCACGGTAGTAGTGCTACAGTCTATTAGTACATGAGTGGGGTGGTCACTTACAAGGATGTTGTTGCCCTTCCTGAACGGGTCCTTGAAGATGGCCTGTGGGCTGCAGCACGGCACATGCCCCAAGGGAAACAAAAATTACTCCTTGGGTCCAAGGTAAAAAAAGATAGAACTGCACTTCACAGAGGTAAATGGTTCTGGAGTGGCATGGCAAATGGCACTTACTACAGGATGACCTCGCTGTCCTCGCCGGGGGCCTGGCCGGTGCTGGAGCCGTCGTAGTTCCACTTGGGCAGCTTGCTGGGATCCGTGACCGGGCCGGGGAGGGTCTGCACCAACCAGAGCAACAACAACAGTAAATCCACACAGTTAGCCAAAAGGAATCTCGCAACCTCTGATATATAAGCACAAGAACAGCTCAGTGGATAACTAGGTAGCACGGCAGAAAAGTGATAGGACACGGCAAGGAGGTCATGGGATCCATGCCGGCCGGGGATGGGAATCTTTATCTGCATCTGTATCTTACCCTGGCCTTGCTCCTGAGATCCATGCCAGATCCGCCGATCCTGCAATAAATCCAAAATAAATTGACGGTGAATATACCAGCAGAAACAGCCCACATAAACGAAACCCATGACCGGCGTATCATTTACTGTTCACCACGGTTTTTTGCCGGGCACAGTGAAAATATGGGTATTGGCCTCGGTTCCGACATGGTGAAGATCGAAAGCTCGCGCGTGGGAAATTCATGGAGGAGGAGCAGAGCATCTGACCGCGCGCGGGCCGGGGCCATGCTGCGCAGGGGAGGGACCGAGGGGGCAGAGGATGCCGCCGCAGAGATCCTCTCCCCAACAGGACAAAACGTACTGCCGGTACGAATATGGCAGTGGCGCATCCATCCCTGCGTTGCGCATATCCGGAAGGGGAGTGATAAATCACCACCAACAAACCAAAAACCTCTTCTCGTCGCGCTGCCATACCTAAAACCTACTGTATTTCCCAACTCTCGCTGAACGGAACCGAACCGAACGGAACGGAACCGAACTGAACGGAAGAAGAGAAAAAGGTGGCGTTTACCACCCGCACGAGCGAGCACCGCCGGTCGCTGCACCCACGGAGCGGATCGCGGGGGCGAAAAGTATTTGGGTTTTTTATTAAAGAAAAAAAAACACCACGACGAATCCGCGCTAACAGCGCAAACTACGACGACGGCCCCATGAATTTAGCATCGAGGAAAAACCCAGTCCCCCGAGCGATCCCGCCGCCTGCTCTCCACGAACCAGGCGGCGGCGGCGGCATGATGAGCCCGCGCGGTTCCGGGCGGCGGCCGACGCGGACGCAGCGGAGAAACGGCCGAGGTCCGTTCGTCCGGGGGAAGGAAGGAGGACGTACCATATGTACTCGGCGATGATCTTCTCCGTGGAGTCGGTGAGGTCGAGGTTGAGGAGATCGGTGAGGAGCGCCATGGCGGGAGGAGCAATCCGGCTCCGGCTGACTGGGGGCAGGAAGGCAGGAAGGAAGGCGGGTGGGGGTGGTGCGAGGCCAAGGGGAGATCGGGAGGGCGGCTATATAATGGCGACGACCCAGCACGCACCCGGCAGGAGCAGCTGCTACAGGGAAACTCGTTGCGCGCGGTGCGTATCCGTGTACCGCCGCTATACGCGCGGCGCTTTCTCTCTCTCACAAAGATATCTTTATCTCTCTGCGGACTCCGCCGTGGCGACGTCTCCTTCGCGGGATAAAAATAAAATATTTATTTCCGGTAGTCTGTTCGACCGGGGGTAGGTGCGCGATGTTACCTATCCCGCACCCGCTGCCGGCGCTCCCACGACGATGACCTGCGGGACCGACGCGGCGCATGGGCCCGGCTGTCAGCCGTACGGTACGGAATACGGAGTCTGGGAAAACGCGCGTTTGTTGCTGAAAAAAATAAGTAAAATGTTTTTTTTAGTGCGTTGCGGGCGGCAGCTTTGTCGATGGTGTGGTGCTGCTGGGAGATTTGATTATCAGTTCCGAGCATAGGGGTAAAGTAAAGTAAAGTAGTAGTTTTTTTTCTTTCTTTTATTTTTCAACGTTTTGCTTTGGAGTGGGAGAGGAGTCCAAAGCTGGAATAGATTGATTGAGTATTTGCTGGAATTT